GTTGAGTTTGGGTCGGACATATGTCCGATGACCTTCATTTCAGTTCTGACTCGGAAATAAGTCTGAATGACACAAATGAATATCAGCACAATGTATTAATTCTGAACGGTAAATATTGTGAAAATATTAAATAATTTGTTTCTTTCATACTCATTTCCAAGCCAAAATTAACTTGCTTGCCAGAACAGCAGTATTAAAAAAAACTTCGACAACTTAAGCCCGTTTTCCACTTCACCATTTCGCTCGCCACCCCGCGCTCGACTACGTTAAAACAACATTTCCAGTTCACCTTTTATACAATAGTACTCTGATTCTCTATTTAACATACGAGCCTCTAGTCCTGGACTAAGGTACATTTTGATTTACGTTGGACAAAGCTGCAGTTAGGTCGGACACCAATACACTCGGGTCGGACAAACAATAAACCTCAGTTTCACTTAGGTCGGACATAGCAGAGATGAGGTATATGAGAGGAAGTCCATTTGTAGCTCCGCTAATTTAATAAAATTTGAAAAACTTTTGATATTGATAATCTTGAACTAACTAACTAGTACTGTAACTGTAACTTGAAGTTAAATCGAACTCGAAGCTAGACTAAAGCAACGACATTGTTCAGCGTCACCGACGGCATTAATCTCGAAGCAAGACTAAAGCAAGAACGACATTGTTCAGCGTCACCGACGGCATTGATCTACAAAAAGTTATAATGGCCTCTCTCGGTGGTAAACAACTAAGCCAATTTCGTGTTGTCGATCTCAGAACAGAGCTGGAAAAAAGAGGGCTAGATAATTCTGGACTGAAGGGAGCGCTGGTTGAGCGACTTGAGAAATCATTGTTGGATTACTCTGCAGAGATAAGCGAATGTGTCTTCTCCACAGAGCAGGGTGACGAAGCGAAAAAGACGGCAGAATCGGAAGCTACACAAACACCAAATAGCAACCTGGAGGCAATTAATAAGCAGTCGTTGCAAATGAAAACAGCAGGAAAACTGTTAGAACAGTCTATCGAAATCAATACTGCAACTAAAGAAACTAATTGCAAGGAAACCATGACTGAATTCAATCTTGTACCTAACAAGGTTGACGAAATTGGAATACTCCATCGCAGAATTAATAACATCGAAGATAGTTTAAGGCGAGAAATTTCAAATATTGTTGTTGAAATAAACGCCATACCCAGACATGAATACTCGAGGGACTACACTTCATTGCTTACTAAACAAAAGGAGGATCTCACTAACTATAATACATGTCTCAAACAAGAAAACGATGAGCTTAGAGATCGACTGAATACCATGTCACTGGCCTTGTCTGATCTAAATCAAAAAGTTAAAGATACTGAAAACGAGAAGCTTAGTTTAGTAACGGCCCTAAAAATTTTATATGAAGAACAAAAACGTACCCCGCAAGACAAAGACCAAATTCACACTCATGCAAATCTCGGCAAACAGACCAATAATAATGGCGAGCAAACATACTCAACGGTGGGTAAAAATAAAAGGTCTAAAATGATTCCATTTAGTCCAAAGATAACGAAAGAAGTTATTAACTTAGACTCTACCACACCGGAACAATCTTACAATGTTGACACACGCAATCGCTACGAAGTACTCGGTAATGGAGAAGACCAATATAATACCGCAGAACAACAAAGTGAAACAACTCAAACGTCCAGGGAGATGCGACCCAAGACTAGCCGAGAAGTTTCTACTAATGAAGACCAAACCAAAGCGTCATCGGAGACTAGTCCCCGTACTTATAATTCGGGCAACCAACCCAGGCGTACAATCAACGTAGCCGTTGCCGGTGACTCAATGTTAAAGTACATAAATCCCTCCAAACTTAGTAAAAGCTTGAAACAAAATGTCCACGTGAAAACCTTCCCTGGAGCAAAGGTTGCGGATATGGAGCACTACGTAAAGCCAACACTAGCACACGCTCCTGAGTACACCGTGTTCTGCACGTTGGTACAAATGATTTAAGACAAAAATCTCCTCGCCAAATAGCAACATCGATAACTAAGCTCGGACATGAAATCAATGCGAATATGCCAAATACGAAATTAATCTTATCTGAAGTAATAGTTAGAAATGATGACCCTCAGCTCATGATAAAAGTCAAAGAAGTCAATTCAAAATTATCACAGGTATGTCTAAGCAATAGATGGGATTTGCTAACTCATGGAAACATTTTAGTCAAACACTTAAACCCATATGGTGTCCACCTGAACAAACAAGGAACTGCAATCTTAGCTAAGAATCTTAGTGACTTTCTAAAACTTAAATATTGACTGCCTGAGTATATGAGTTCCACAGTAGATTGCACGAATAAGGACAATATTGAACTATCTTCAGAAAAGTCTCGATGCAATTCGACCATTCAAAATAATCTTATTTTAAATCCTGAAAATCGAAATGTCAGAGAAACGTGTCATGACCTATTATCACAAACTAGCGAGAATACGTTTTCAAAACTAAAAGGCTTTAGGGTGGGCCACTTGAATATTGTAAGCTTAACCAAACATATTGAGGAGCTTAGGATCTTACTACACAAACGACCTTTTGATATTATAACCTTAAACGAAACCAGACTAGACGATACTATTAATAGCGAAGAGGTTGAGGTCGCAGGCTATGAATTAATAAGATCGGATAGAAATCGAAATGGTGGGGGTGTAGCTATATACTTAAGAGATAATATACCATATGTAGAGCGATCGGAATTACTCACTGACCATGTTGAAGCAGTTTGTATAGAAATTAGAAAACAAAAGACTAAACCATTCCTTGTTTCAACTTGGTACCGGCCACCAAATTCTGATACTATACTATTTGACAAATTTGAAAGCTTTTTACAAAAAGCAGATGATACGGGACAAGATCTGATCATAACCGGTGATTTCAACTGTAATATATCAGCTACTTATGACAGCCCTCATACCTCAAAAATTAAGGACTTAATCGATATATACCAACTACAACAACACATTAAAGATCCGACTAGAGTAACTACAACCAGTAAAACCTTAATCGATTTAATACTCACGAAAATTGAGGATACAAAAACCATTGACGCAGGAGTCATCCATATTGGGATTAGCGATCATAGCCTTGTCTATATTTGCCGAAAAGTGAGCATCCCAAAGGGAAAGCCCAAAATAATAGAGACAAGGCAATTTAAACATTTCAATGAAGTCCGATTTCAAGATGATTTAAAGCAAGCACTAAACACACACTTCCATTATTTATATACAGACCCAAATTTAGCTTGGCAAATTTGGAAAGAAGTATTTTTAAATATTTCCGAAAAACACGCGCCAATTAGACGTAAAAAGGTCAAAAGTGAGTATAAACCTTGGCTAACAAACGAAATTAAAGAATTGTGCTACCGTAGGGATTACCTAAAAAAGAAAGCAATTAATCTGAATTCCCCTTATTATCACGAAGCATACAAGAGATGCAAAAACAAAGTTACTAGACTGATAGAGAAAACTAAAACTAATTACTACAATACCAAATTTGCAAACTCTAAAAATAGTGCTGACAGCTGGAAAACAATTAACGAATTATTAAACAAAAAGTCCAAAACAACGACTCTCAATGCGATATCTGTGAATAATGAGGTTGTTACAGGAGATAAAAACATTGCTAATGAATTCAACAAATATTTTGCTACTATTGGACCAAACTTAGCTGAAAACATCTGTACAACTGACGTTGACCCGTTGAAATACGTGACAGTAGGGACAGCTGATTTTAACTTCAAAAGTATTACAAAAGCAAATGTGAAAAGTGTATTAAAGAAATCGAAAGCTACCAAAGCAACAGGCACTGATAATATTTCAATTAAGCTTCTAAAATTAGCAGGTGACTCTATCACAGAACCATTAACATTCATTTTTAATTTGTCTTTATCTACTGGTATTTTCCCTGATGACATGAAATTTGCAAAAGTTACGCCAATCTTTAAAACCGGAAGTAAACTAGATTGCGGAAATTACAGACCAATCTCAGTTCTTTCGGCAGTTCCCAAGATATTCGAAAAGATTGTTTATGAACAACTCACGAAATTCCTAGACGACAATAACATTATTTCTAAACACCAGTCTGGCTTTCGGCCACTGCATTCAACCGAAACGACACTGCTTCAGTCAACTGACGAATGGCTTTTTAATATGGATAAGGGCTTAATTAATGGAGTTTTGTTTCTGGATTTAAAAAAGGCCTTCGACACAGTCGACCATAAAATTCTTCTTTTAAAACTTAAACGCTATGGAGTAGGTGGGATTGCATTCCAATGGTTTCAATCCTATCTTCAACAGCGACAACAAATCTGTAAAATTGCAGGCTCTTCATCTAATACCCAAACGCTACATTGTGGTGTCCCTCAAGGATCAAATCTTGGACCATTACTGTTCTTAATTTATATCAATGACCTACCCAATTGCCTCGAAACAACGCATGCCTCGATGTTTGCGGATGACACAAACTTGGCATGTGAAGGTGTTTCATCAGAACAAATTGAGCAAAAACTAAATAACGATCTTAATAATGTTCAAACGTGGCTAACATGCAACAAACTTACACTAAACAAAGAGAAAACTGAATACATGATTATTGGATCACGCCAGAAATTAAATAACCTATCTCGTAATCCGAACATAGTCATTGGAAACCATAGTGCATGTGGAACGAGTTCAGGACAAAAAAGTCTTGGGTGTAAAAATTGATAAAGAATTGAAATGGAAAGATCATATCGATGCACAATGTAAGAAAATTTCTAAAAATATAGCCCTCCTAAGGAGGGCGAAAAACTTTACAACAGAACAAACACTTTTGACAATGTATAACGCGCTAATTTTACCCCATTTAACTTATTGTTCCAATGTATGGCATGATGGAAATAATACAAATATGAACAAGCTTGTTAAACTGCAAAAAAGAGCAGCTCGTGTGATAACAGGTTCTAATTATGAGATACGTTCCTCTGACATTTTTAAGAAACTTAATTGGGAACCACTAGAAACCACTCTGAAAAAACGCGAACTTGTGATGACTTTTAAAGCGATTAGAAGTTTCGCACCAGAGTATTTATCTAACCTTTTCACCGCTACTTTCAACAATGATTATAGCCTTCGAAGTAATAACAGAAATCTCTGTTTAAAAAAACCTAAGACGAATTTTATGAAAAATAGTTTCTCTTATCGTGGATCATCATCATGGAATAAACTACCTATGCAAATAAGGGATAACTACAATCAACTCTCTATTGACTCATTCAAAAGCACTATTAATGGATATTTCAAGTCATAGATTGTTGAGTGTTTGCATGATTTATTTCACTATTATAGATATATATGATTTAAAACAATTATTGCATGCTATTTTGTTATTACGATATTAATTAGTTTTTAGTCTGTAGATAGTATACTTTTGTAAATAGATGCACGGCCCTATGAAAACCAGGAAACTGATAGATTACCGTGTTTAAATAAATTTAAATAATAATAATAATAATAAAATAATAATTGAATCCTAGATTGAATCATTGAATCCTAGATTGAATCATTGAATCATAGATTGAATCATTGAATGAATCATTGAATCCTAAATTGAATCATTGAATGAGTCATTGAATCCTAGATTGAATCCTAGATTGAATCATTGAATCCTAGATTGAATCATTGAATCATAGATTGAATCATTGAATGAATCATTGAATCCTAGATTGAATCCTAGATTGAGTCATTGAATCATAGAGTGAATCATTGAATCATAGAGTGAATCACTGAATCCTAGAGTGAATCATAGAGTGAATCATTGAATCATAGAGTGAATCATTGAATCATAGAGTGAATTATTGAATCATATAGTGAATCATTGAATCATAGAGTGAATCATTGAATCATAGAGTGAATCATTGAATCATAGAGCGAATCATTGAATCATAGAGTGAATCCTAGAATGAATCATTGAATCATAGATTGAATCATTGAATCCTAGATTGAATCATTGAGTGAATCATTGAATCATAAAGTGAATCCTATATTAAATCAGTGAATCCTAAGAATAATCACGAGTGATTATAAATAGTGGACCAACTTAAAATAATTTCATTCAGCGTTTTGGCACACAGCAGTGAACATGTTTCATTCTTGCACAGTTTGTAACAAATCATTCTCAACTTCAAGTAACCGTTCACGTCACCAAAATACAGCTCACGGACCTGGCACTCTATCTCAATCCAGATTGTTGTCAATCGGTCCAGTGTTATGCAGCATCCTTTCACATATATCGTAGCTGGGTGTACACAAAGCGGCAAGGCTGTATGGGTAAAATCTCTCTTGGAGAATGCACAGAAAACTATAAGTCCTCCTCAACGCATCATTTGGTGTTATGGTCAATGGCAACCCTCCTATTTTGATATGATGAGAACGATGCTAGGAATCAAATTCAATCAAGGCATCCCCGAAGACATCAACAACGCAGATTACTTGGACGTATCGCGACGGAATTTCATTGTATTGGATGATCTCATGGCTCAATCTGGAAAAGATAAATGTATTGCTGATCTTTTTACGAAAGGAAGTCATCATCGAAAATTGTCTATCATCTATATTGTCCAAAATATATTTCATCAAGGCAAAGAAATGAGAAATATTAGTCTAAACACGCATTATATCGTATTGTTCAAGTCACCAAGAGATAAACAACAAATTTCTATGCTTGCAAGGCAAATAAATCCCGGCAAAGTACAGGAATTTATGAGGAGTTATGAAGATGCTACGAGCCGACCTCACGGGTATTTGATGTTGGATTTAAAGCCGATCGCGACAACGAGTGACCAAGATCGACTCAAGACAAACGTACTTCCCGGCGAGATTGCAAAGTTTATACAAAAACAGTCGTATCGTCAACCACCGCTTGTAAACGCAATGTATGATGCCGAGCAGCGAATGAAAGAAATCATGGATGCACCACAG